GACAGAACAAGGCTTCCCACTGCCAGAGGGCCGGGATAGATGGGATACTGGGAAGAAATTTATCCCTGTGAGTGGGTGACCGAGAGGTGGGATGAGATGTCCAGTCCAGGCTATTCTACAGTTCTGTAGCACCCTGCACATTGTACCCCACGTGCCCACTGGTTGTGTGCTGAAGCTCCCTTGCAATGACCTTTTTCCCCACAGAGAAGCTGCAAGACTGGGACATGTTACTGCTGTCATTTCTGTATGTGGATAAACCTGACACCCCCAAAGTGTGTTTGGGCTTGGGTCTGTGAATTCAGTCGTGTCAAGTGCCCTGGTCCTATCTTTGGGGGTGGATAGTGGTGGGGAGGACACTCCCTTTGCTCTCAGCCAGCCCCTTGACTTGATGGAGCCTGGTAAGGAAAAACACATCTTGGGGAGCATTCTGCAGATCTTGGGTAAAGGATGGGCTGGTCCCACAGCGAGAGGTGCCTGGGGGAAGCAGTTGCTGGGCTGGGCTGGGCTGGGCTGGGCTGGGCTGGGCTGGGCTGTGATCTGCCATACCTGTCACCTGCATTTCTCCCTTCAAACTGGGACTTTCTGTGCCTCCATAAGACGAGGGAAGCGTTTTTCTTCTTTTCCCAGCCTCCAAATGTCCTTTGAACCTCCTCTTGCAGGTTTCCTTGCAGCCAAGCCATTGCACTGGACCTGTTTTGGGGATGGAGATCAGGAAAACGTCCCTTGAACTTGTGCCATGTCGAACCCATCCCAATTTTGCTGTCACTTGTATCGCTGGCTCTGCCGTGTGTTCCTGCACACGGAATGGATTGGGGAGCATGGTGCCACATGCTGGGAAAAGCAAAGAGCTCCAAAGGAAAATACATTTTTGGAAAGGATGCATTTATTTGCCTTTATTTATCTTCCTAAAGCTTTCAGATTAATCTTTTTGATCTTCCCTCTGCAGCTGCATGGCCAAGGTTTGGTTTCTTTCAGCTGACATTGTGCTGAGAGCACACGGCTTTGCAAGGCGGGTGTTAAGGAAGGGCAGCTGAATTTCTTCGCCCTGGAGAGGGGCGGTGTTTCAAGCTAACTTTAGTAAGGAAAGACTAAAAAGGGATGCAATAAAAGTATATTAAAAATAGCAAATGGCTGTAGAAAGTGGATGTAAGACTCTCAGTGTCCCTGCTCGTGCCAAGAGAAGCGTGGGGCCGTTCAGTTGGAATGGAAAAGTGACAAGTTATGGAGCAGCGCAGAGCACCCCGCTGCCGTGCAAAGCAAAGGTGAAACGACTTAGAAGTAGGTGAAATAGATCAGAAATTTGTACAGTAGATAAAAAAAATTCAGAAAAAAAGACTTTAAAGAGATACTGTCTCCTTTCTGTCCCCAGCTCTTGGAGCTGGGGATTCAGCCCCCCCCCAATTCCTTGTTTTGTAAAAACATCTCCCAGCTGAGATTCCTCTGCGCTTTTTCTTTCTTCCCCCATTTGCAAAATGCTAACTCTGCTCTCTCGCCTGTCTCTCCAATTTGGAGCAATTTACTGGGAGCCGGGGATGAATTACTCAGCACAGAGTTAACCAGCACCTGCTCGGAGTTAATTGGCATGTGTGCTAATTGCCGTGATAGTCACACTTGTGCGAGCGGAGCGCAGGGAGGGGGAAGCGGGCGCTGGCGGCTGCCTCCATCCCAGAGCTCCTCGCTGCCGAATTCCCTGATCCTTCGTGAGATTCCTGGGAGTGGAAGAGGGTCAGGGTGGCTTTTTTGCAGTGAGACACCTGTCATTTGCTTTCCAGTGGATTTGAAGGTCCCTTTCCATGCCCTTGGACCCTCTTTGTTGGGGTGTAGTAGCTGGGATGCTTGGCAGTTTCCTTGGAAAACGAGGCTCAGCAGAAAGAAAGAAGCTGCTGTCTGAGAAGGAGGAGATGATGATTTAATGAGTGGGGTTATTGTATATAAAATCATTTGAGACCCTGAAAGTTAGAGGTTATTTAGGGGCTCAGCTCCTCGTTGCAGTCCTGTGCTCTGGGTGCTTGTCTCTGTAGGAGTTTGAGGGTTTAAATTCCACCTGATCACAGAGGAAGGTCGTGGGTGATCTTGGTGCCTCGGTCTGGGCAATCAGGGAGCCAAAGCAATTTGGTGGTAAAGGAGAGGGAGCTCCAGGGGCTGAGGGGATGTTTCTGGGTTGGGGCCAAGCCTCAGCAGCAGTGCCAGCAAGAAGGACAGGAGAGATGAAGGCGGCTCTCCAGGTTTCTTGCTCTTCCAGCTGCTGTTCAGAAACTCGAGCCAGTGGTTGTACTTTCTGAAACAGGCACCTGGGCAGGAAACGTGAAAATACCTGGGTTTAAAAATATGGTGGGGGAAAAAGCCCAGCCTAAAAATAAATAATGTGCTCTTCTCCATCCCTCCTCTTCACCCCATCCAGGGGTGGCCTTCCCCATGGGGTGTTTGTTTTCCTTCTCAGGCAGGATAGAGGGGTCAAGAGCATCACATGGCAGCTCCTTTTCTCCCCATGATGACGAGCAGAATCCTGTTAAGTCACTTTTTTCCTGTGGAAAACTTTATCCAGCAGCATGAGCAAAGCCTGAGGCTGGGACAGTGATCCAACCAAGGTGCTGAGAGTGAAGAGTCAGGATTCAGAGCAGCAGGAGGAACCTGGTTTGGTGGTTGAAAAAGGGGATTTGGTTTGAAACACTTGGGGTATGTTTGTGGCCTGGGGAGGGGAATGTGGCTTGAATTCCACTGCTCCATGCAAGAAATGCCAGCTCGTGTGGAGCTGAGGGCAGGGATGAGCAGCACCAGGGTTTTTTCCTCATCCCTACAAACATCCCATCTCCTCAAGCACTGTGGAGCTTTTGGCTGCCATAGCATCCTGTGAACAAGCCCTGCAATGAAATTGTGTTAAAATATGTTTCCTTTCACTCAGTTTAAATTTACTGCCCGTTGTTCTCCAGTGTTTATTGTTGCTTCTGGAGAGTTCCTCTCTGGTTTGGACAGTAAATCCGCTGTCTTTCAGAGGGTTTCTCTGTCCAAGAGCTGCAGCACACGGAAAGAATTAGCATCTTGCCCTGAGTCTGCTTGTGGAGCTGTTGCTACTTTGTGCTGCTGCTGGTGGTTTTGAAGATGCTGAAGGTGAATATTTTTCAGCCAGTTTAGAGAAAAGGCAACTCCAAAGGGAAAAGTGGCAAAGCAAACCCAACAAAAGGTTCCTCCTCTTCCAAAGTTTCTCTGTGTGTGCAAAATCCTTTCCTTGGTTCCAAGGCTTTGGGCTCCTGTGTGGGCTCACAGGGAGGGAAATACCGAGCGGACACTCCAGGTAGATGAAATTAAAATCCTCATTTTCCTTTTGGCTCTTCCTGTATCACTGACCTTTGAGGGATACTCACATGGTGCAAGCTGGAGCAGTGATGCTCTGAAACTGGTGGTGCTATAGAACTGGCCATGCTCTGGGACCTATTTTTTTCAGAGCTTCCCACAGTGGGATGGGGAGCAGCAGCCAAAGTGCCTCTGGCACTGGCCCAGTGTTCCCTGTGGTGACAGTGCTCCTCACAGCTGCATGGTTGCTCCTATTTGCTGCTGGGAGGGAAACATGCACCTTTTTTGGTAAATAATGATTCAAGAATTAAATGTCATCCCTTTATGGTCTGTCCTTGCCAAGAGTCTTACTGGTGGACTTTATGTGTAAAATATCCAGGTTTTGCTGCCCTTTGTCTCTCTGATCTTCTTCCTGGCCTCCCCATGCCTCACTCTCCCTGGAGGGCAAACTGGGGATGTCGAGATGGGGAAAAGGGCTCCTTGAATTTGCACTGAAACCACAGAATATGATGCATGATGAATAACTTTACCCCCCTAAAAAAGCAGAGAGAAAGATTGACTCAAATGACTCAGTGAACCCCAAAAACAAGTGTGGGAGTGAGACCATTAGGGCTTGTTCGTTGTTGGAGCATGGTCTGATGAGGAGGCGAAGGATGGGGAAGGTCTTCAGCAGGGTCTGGGGGCACTCTGGGGTGGGACAGGAGCAGGAGGAACTTGGTCAGGTTGGCTGTGGCTGCTGCTTTGAATTTGGGATGATGGTTTGGGAGAAAAAGCTTTGGGGTTTTTTTATGCTTTTTGTAACAAGACCGAGGGCTGGGGACTGCCAAATTGAGGCAGATATGAAGCTATTTTGGGACTGGTTTTTCCCTCTGCCTGGGTCTTGGCACAAGGCACCTTGCTTTAAATGCAGTGTTATCACTGCTGTTATGCAGCTGCTCAGAGAGAGAGCAGGGAGAAAGACATACCTGTGGAAAATGAACTGGCTGAAGTTGCCTCTTTGTCCTGTCAGTGCAGTGCAGCACATGCTGGGAAACGGTGAGATGGGCTGGGGGGCTGTGCCAGGAGGTGTCCTGCTACATCTGGTGCAGCCTCTGGTGCTGGGTGATGCAGATTATCGTGGGGAGGCTGCAGAAGGAGCCCCGTGACCTACAGCACTCGTCCCTTTGTGGGGAGGTTCGGGCACAAGATACCACCGAGCCAATTGTGTGCCCCAGATCCACGGAAACATCCGCTGTGCCTGAGCCCAGTGGAAGGCCAGGCTGTCTCAGCTGCCTTCCGAGTTCTCCTTCCCCATAAGAATTAGGTTTCTGTGCCTGGTTATAAGGTTTCTTCCAAGTAATCAAATAAAGACATTTTAAAATTCCGAATTGAAGATTAGCGCAGAAACTGGAGACGGATTTAAATTGCCCGAGCTAATCACCAGCCACTCGACTGCTTATGACTTTATTAAGAGAAAAAAAGTCTGGAGTGTCACGGAGGAATAGTGATTCACGGGCACACTGCTGTCGTCTCCTCCTCCTCGCCCAGAGCGTTGCAGTGCCCGGCCCACACGTGTCCTGTGCCACGGGGGGCTCCTGGCCTCCATCCTCGCTCTCCTGGCCCCAGAGCTGGGTGGGAGAAAGAATCAGAGACCACCCTGGCCCCGGGGATCGGGGTCCTGGATGGGGTTTGGGAGCAGAGGGTCTCACTCCTGTCTCTCTCCTGTGCAGGTTTGTGAGCAGCTGCTGACTTCTCAGCCCCGCCGGGTCTGGCTGCGCACGACGGTACCATGAACTGAGCACCAAGCCACGCAAAACTTTTTTTTTTTGTTTTGGCTTTTTTGGGTTTGTTTTCCATCCGAGAAAAAAGCCCCCCACGCTGTTTAATGAAAGCATTTTAAAGCGGGGTTAGCTCTCCCCTCCCCTGAGTCGAAGTCGTCCCGGGTGTGGAGAGGATTTCCGGAGAAGATGGGGAGAAAAAAGATCCAGATCCAGCGGATCACGGATGAGCGCAATCGGCAGGTCAGTGCTGTCTCTCCCTGCTCCCTCACCTCACCCTTCTCCTGTTGGGGATTTTAAATACTTGAGTTTCAAAATGATCCATTTCCATCCCATTCTGGGCCATCAGTGCTGTGTTTTTCCCAATCCATAAAATAAGCAGATGGGCGAGACTTGGTGCTGAGGCCGGATCCAGGACCAGGCAAACAGCCCCGTTGTGCTGCCCCATCCAGGCATTGCTCCTTGAGCCATTTCCATCTAAGTGCTTTTCCAGAAGAAAGTATCTTCTCCACTTAGTTAGTTCCCCCTTTTTTTTATTATTTTTGTCCTGCAGAAAATATATTTCAGTTGACATTTTCCATGTGGTTTTTCCAATAAAAAACAGCCACAACAAGTATCCATTTTGCTGAACGCAAACAACTCAAGTTATTCCTTTTTTTTCCTCAATTGTAAACTTAAATGACTCCAGGGCTTTTTTCCTTGGGCTCTCTAGAAGCCAAGCCTGAGAGACACACACACACGTGCATGTGTGTAGGAATGTATCTCAGAGGAAAAAGAAATCCGACAGATTTTTCCCAAATTTCCATGTTCCTTAAACTGGAGTGGTGGAGCAGCAGCACTTTGCCAGCCCAGGTTTGCTCTGGGATGACTCTGTCAATGTACTTCCCATAACCACAAGACTTCCAGGCAATTCCCTCTGCTTTCTGTGCTCCTGCAGTCTGGCTCAGCAGATCCAAGCCTCTGCTTTTAGTCCAGCCACTACTGCACTCCAGCATGACCCCCCACACTTCTTTCCTGCCACTTTCACTCCAGAAAAACAGAGAAAACAGTAAAAAAGCATGTGGATATATTCCTAATCCTTAAAGAGTGGCAAAGAACAGAACTGGATGAACCACTTTATTGCTCTGCAGCAAAACAATAGGAAATGGCAGGTTTTCTTCATTATAGCTTCACTTGGTGGCGGGGGCCGGGACAGGCATCAAATAGTTTTTGCTGATGTTCAGCAAACCCCCAGTTGCTCCTGGGGTTGTTTATATCCATCATGAGGAGGAAACAGGGCCTTAGAGGTTGTTGAAGGATTTGGAGTGTCTTGTGGGGCAGTGCTGCAGAGGGGAGCGAGGGATCTGGGGTGACTGTAGCCCTGTTGGAAGTTCAAACAAATGGAAAATAATCGGTGATGCTGGAGGGGGATGGCACAGCCTGGCCCTGCTGGATAGTCCCTCGGGAAGGGAAAGAGGCACTGCTCTGCAGAGGCAGCAGCCAGGTGATGGGACTGTTTCTGAGGGATGAGCTGCTCTTGGGCACTGGCTGGAGATAAAGCCCCTTGCTGAGATCTCACAGCATCGGGTGGGATTTGGCAGCAGGAGTTGCTTTGCGTGGCCAGATGTCATGGCTTTAGCACATCTCTGATGTCAGGTGTCCCCAAAGCCCAGTTCCCTGGGCTGGGGGACACTGGTTTTGCCCTGGCAGTAATTGCATCCCTGGCTGGGCTAGTTCCTCCAAAACCCAGCACGGGAGCATTGCTCCCCACCCCAGTGCAGCACATCTTGCTTTGCTTCCCAGAACCCAGCCCGATCAAATCGGGTGTCAGCAAAGCAGCAGCTGTTTAATTGGTCACCAGCACAGCTTGCAACCAATTTTCACTGCTCCCTTTCTTTGGGAAAAAAGGACATAGCAGGAAGATAGGACATTTCATGAAAAAGAACTGCTCTGGGGAGTGGGATCTGCTCTATCCACTGTGGTAGGAGCTGTAAAGAGGGTGAGAACCCTCTTGCTCCACTCTCCTGGTCCCTGTTGTACATGTGGAATACCAGGATCCACTCCCCAGGGGCAGAAGTGTCCCATTCTGCTTTATCTCATAGAGCCATGGAATGATTTGGGTTGGAAGGGATCTTAAAAGTCCATCTCACCCCACCCCCCTGCCATAGGCAGGGACACCTTCCACTGTCCTAGCTTGCTCCAAGCCCTGTCCAATGTGTCCTTGGACACTTCCAGGAATGAGGCAGACACAGCTTTTCTGAGCACCCTGTGCCAGGGGCCTCCCCACCTTCACAGGACAAATTTCCTTCTAATATCCCATCTAAATCTCCCCTTTTTCAGTTTCAAACCACACCCCTTGTCCCATCGCTATCTGCCAGCGTAACAAGTGCCTCTCTGTCTGTTTGATAAGCCCCTTGAAGTGCTGGAGGGCTGCAGTGAGGTCCCCCCGGAGCCACCTCTGGCTTCTCTCCCTGTGTCCCTGCGGATCAGCGCTGCCCATGCGTGTGTGGCTGCAGGCTGTTGGCTAAGCTGGCTTAAACCCAGCGTCTGGAGCATCCTCAGCCCACCCCTGCCCCCGTGGCAGCCCCCCTGCTGCAGCGGGGGCAGAGGGCACGGGCAGCTCTCCTGTGTCACTCCCGGAGCTGATGGATGGGGCTGGTTCCTGCAGGAGTCCTTGGCATGCCAGGGTGGCAGAGGAATGGGAATAGTGCAGGGATGCCCTGGAGAATGAGGAATTCACCGGTGCTGGAGCAAGGAGGTGGAGGCACAGCTGCTTTTGACGCCTGCGTTTCCCTTCATGCTGCCCATGGCTTGGGGCTGCCGAGCCTGAGGGAGAGCTGAGGCTGCACAGGGGCTCTCCAGAGCCTTTGCTGTGAGCTGAAGCTGTTCCTTCAGCTGACCCTGCTCGTGTCCCAGGTTTTGTCTTCCATGGGGGCACAGACCATGGAGTGCAGCAGGATGTGGAGCTGCTGGAGTGGGTCTGGAGGAGGCCATGGAGATACTCCGAGGGCTGGAGCAGCTCTGCTCTGGAGCCAGGCTGGGAGAGCTGGAGGCATTCAGCCTGGAGAAGAGAAGGCTCCAGGGAGATCTAAAGGGACTTTAAATTTCCATGAGGGAGAGGGACCTTGGACAAGGACCTGGAGTGACAGGACAAAGGGGGGAATGGTTTTAAACTGCAAAGAGGGAGACTTAGATTGGATATTAGGGGAAAATTCTCCCCTGTGAAGGTGGAGAGGCCCTGGCACAGGTTGCCCAGAGAAGCTGTGGCTGCCCTGTTCCTGGAAGTGTTCAAGGCCAGGTTGGACAGTGTTTGGAGCAACCTGGGATAGTTGAAGATGTTCCTGCCCATGGCAGGGAGGTGAGACAAGATGAGCTTTTAGATCCCTTCCAACCCAAACCAGTGTTTGATTCCGTGAATTACAGCAGCAGCCAAAACCAAGGGAGGAGAGCAAGTCGGAGTCACTAATGTCATTAGAGGAATTACTGGAGAGGATTTGCCACAACAGATCAGGCCATCAGTCCTTCAGGGCCAGGCTGCTGACTCTGGCAACTGCCAATATGGTTTGCATCAGGGGAAAGGCAAGAAATCCCCTGCTAGTGTGGGGCAGTAATTCCTTCCTGACCCCTTTGGTGATCGGCTTATGCCCTGAAGCATGAGATTTGATTACCCTCTTAGACTTACAAGGTTAATTCTTCTAGATGAGGCTCGTGCACGGCATCAGGGGAAGGTTTGAGGTTTCTGTCCTGGGTTGTGAGTGGATGCACAAGGCTGTGTTAGGTGATCCTTGTGTGTGATATGGTGGCTAAATGACAAATCTTTCTTCCCTCTGCAGAACGTAGGGGTGTCAGTAGAGAGGGATGCTCTTGTGCCCTGTCTGCAGAGGGAATATTCCCTCCTCTCTAGAGGGATAATTTGGTGATTTGTGTTCTGCTCAGCTCTGCCCAGGTTGCTTGTTGATTTGGGGAAGATGACCCCACACTCTTCACTACTCAAGGGCAAAACCCAAGCCATGCTTGTCTCTGGTGTTCAAGGCTAAGAGCTGCCCCATTGTTCGGCCCCCACATCTCGGCCTCACCCCATGGCCTCCAGTGTCAGTGGCCGAGCCTGTGGTGGTGCTGGGCAAGGTGTGTTTTGGCAGAGTGTCCCCAGCACCAGTGGCTGCAGAAGCCACCCGTGGCTGGTCCCTCTGTTCTGGTGGAGACTGCGTGTTTTCCTCCCGGGGCTCCTTGAGCTGCTTGGAGGGTGTCAGAGCGCAGAGGCTGCCCCAGCAGGGACGGTGAGACAGGGGGGCAGAGACAGCTCATGGTTTCAGTGCCTGTCCTGCCACGGCTGCAGGAGCAGACCCGCAGCTGGTCCCAGCTGAAGTGGCACTGCAGCTCCTGCTCTTGGGAGCACAGCAGAGCTTTCGGCTGGCTGGCAAGTCTGGGACGCTGCTGGGGAGGGGGAGTTATTTGTGACAGGGGAGCTGGCCCTCAAGTAATTTAATTTGTACCAGAGTGTGCCGGGGCTGGGGTGGTGCTGGCAACGTGAGTGGCGCGGCCGCAGCCCGGCCGTGGCCAAAGCGGGCGCACGTGGCAGCCACAGCAGCACGGGGTACCAGCCCTACACTTTCCAGGGGATGAGGCGATTAGAGCTGAATCTCATTACTGCTTAATCATCTCTGGGAGATGGCAGGGAGGGGCAGCAGCTCCAAGTGTGGCCAGAGCTGCCCCTGCTGTGCCCTCCCTGGTTAGGCAGGGACAGGGCTCTGTCTCGAGGGGTGCAGGACCCTGGGGGTGCACACTGGGTGCTGCTGGCGTGGTGCTGCTCCTCACCATCTCTGCGAACTGGGAAGCTCCAAGTTGAGCTCTTTGGACTGTGCCTGTGATGCCAATGACAGGCTGAACAAAGGCAGCAGCCTCGTTCACTCTCCTCCCTCAGCTCTGCGAATTTAAGCTGTTCACTTGCAAAATTGGTGTTGTGGTGGAGGCCCAGAGTGGAGTCAAGCCCTCCCATGTGGAGAGGGAGCAGGCCTTGGCACCCAAGGGCATCTCAGCTCATCTCCAGCCCTTCCCCTGGAGGCTGCTTTGACCCCAGAGCAATGCTTAGGACAAAACAGTGACCTCCTGCCTCTTATTTTCTTTTTCTGTTTTTCATTTGCTGAGAGGGCATTGGCCAAGCATCGCGCCTTCCCCGTCAGTGTGCCGTGCGTTCTGGTGGGGTGGGGGACCCTCAGCAGCTGTCTGCACAGCAGCCAGGACAGGGAGCCCCAAACCAGCTCCCTCTGTACCAGCTGGATCCTGTTAGGAGCGTGGTGGTGAGAGCTGAGCGTGGGCTGGGAATGGCAGCCCGATGTCTGCCCGGCAGCTGGAGCTGCTGTTGGAGCCAGCACCCAGCCCCAGACCCGGCCCCAGCCCCCAGCCAGCTCTCCAGGATCAGTCCTGCAGGAGCTGCCTCCTCAGCCAACAGCTCTGGTTCCAGCTCAAGGCAGGGCAGGCTGGGGGACAGGGAACCCAGAGGGGCAGGCAGTGAGGAAAACACCCCAGCAAGGTTACAAAGGGGCAGCAAGATGGGGGTGGCAGCTGGGCAGGCCCCTGGCACTGGGGGGCTTGTGGTGCCCTGGGGGAAGCATAGCCTACTGAGATAAGTGAGGCTGGTAAGCAGGAGAGTGGCTCAGGGGTGGGTTTTGGGGTGCTGAGCCCCAGCTCTGTGGCCCTCAGGTTTGGGCACTCACAGCACAGCTGCAGCAAGTGAGGACAAGATCTCTGTTGCTTGAATATTCCACTTAAAAAGCCGCAGCCCCCGGACAGATGGCAGCTCTGCTGGGGATTTTGCTGAAATTTATTTTCTCTTGATTTGGCAATATGTGATTTCCAATGCTGATAATCATCTTTGTGCTTGTGAAGTGTCTGCCTTTGGAGGATCCCAAAATAGGCAGCAATATGAACCATTTGGAAGAGGGAGGCGAGAGAGGAGAGCTTGGGGTTTGGTCCAACTGGGGAAACTGAGACAGAATATTCTCTCTGCATTCCTCTTTCTTTTTCTCTTCCTTCAGTGGTCATTCTGTTTTTCCCTGGGAGGTGTTGGGTCTGTGTCAGCATGGACACAACTTCTCACCATGGCTGTCCTTGCTTTCAGGTGACCTTCACCAAGCGCAAGTTCGGCTTGATGAAGAAAGCCTACGAGCTGAGTGTCCTGTGCGACTGTGAGATTGCCCTCATCATCTTCAACCACTCCAACAAGCTGTTCCAGTATGCCAGCACCGACATGGACAAGGTGCTGCTCAAGTACACCGAGTACAACGAGCCCCATGAGAGCAGGACCAACGCAGACATCATCGAGGTGAGGCTGCCTGTCCGCTCCCCAGCTTTACCCCTGTGCTAGAGCCAGGGCTGAGTCTGCTCCACACGGGGTGCAGGAGCTTGCTGCAGGGTGGGGGTGCAGCATGCAGATCTCTCACACCCAGTGCCAAGATGGATTTTGCATGGTTTAGGAAAATACTCCATTCTGGAGTAGAGTTGAAGCTGTCTCCAGCTGTGTGTTGACCGACTGCCTTGAAACTTGAGGTGCAGGTTTGCTTTGTGGGACTCTGCTGTGGAATCCAGGCAAACCTTGAGGTGGGTTTGGAGGCAGCTCCTGGGGCTGCTGCACTGGGGCCTGGTACAACTGGTGACATAGTTCTGAAGTGCCTGGTACAGCTGGTGACATTGCCCCAGCCTCAAATTCAGACAGGCACGGTGGGGTTGTGGGAGGGCACCAGTGCCCAAATCCAAGAGGAATTCAGGTGGGACGGACCTTGTGCCTGTGGTCCAGTGCCTGCATAAAGCATGGCCAAGCTCATGGGTTGGTGGGTTTGCTCAAGGCTTGTCTGGCTGCATTTTGTGGGTCTCCAGGGGTGGCCCAAGCACATCCAGTCTGACCCATCCCAGCACTGTCTCTGGTACCGTGCCAAAACTGTGCTCACTTCAAGGCTGCTCTCCTCCAGCCTGCTGCCATCGCAGCAGGAGCTGCTCAGCTGCCATGTGCTGGTGGTTCCCCCACGCTGGCCCTCTCCACAGCTCTGTCCTTGTCCCTGGTGCTGGCAGAGCGTGGCTGGGCCGGAGCACAGCACTCTCAGGAGAGTGCCACCGCTGCCTCGGTCATCGGTCACTTCTTCTCCCTCAGCAGTAGCTGTGCAGATGGAGCTGCAGGGTCCTCAGCATGGGGACTGCCATCAAATCTGGACAACTGGGCAAATGGAGGGCTTGGCTTTGTAATTAGTGACATTATGGGCATCAGTTAATGCCCTCAGAGCCACTGGTGGCAGAGTGGAGCAGTGCGGCCTGCACTGCTGGAGGAACTGGGCTTCTGCCTTTGGATCCCTTTGGTGCCCCTTGGTCAGCATGCTCAGGCTTTGATTTCATGAAGGAGAAGGGTAAAAAACCCAGCCTGCCTCCACCCCCCCAAAATCTTTCTTTTTCCTTTCTTTCTTACGCTCTGTAAAATGTGTCTCTTTGAGAGATTTGGATTTGAGGTTTTTACCCCACGGCCAAGCATCTCGCAGTATCTGCCTTCCCTCGCTGGGATTTGGAGACTCTTCTGCCACAGCACAGTTTTGTAGGGGCCTTCAGAATGGTTCAGAAGTGTCCTTTTTGACCTGTTTGAGGCAGGTAATGCCCCTTAACTGTGCAAATGCCGGCGGTTCCCTGCCGCGCTCGGGATGCTCAAACTGCGGCAGCATCGAACAGATTTGTCTTGGCCTAAAAATACCGTAAACATTTTGGGCAGCGTTCTCTGTTCCCTTATGGTCCAAGATGCAAACACTCCCAAGCCGACAAGTTACACACAGTCCTTGGCACCCAAAGAAACACTGTGTTTGCACCACATGAAAAGCTGGATCTGCATCCAAAGCCAGAGAGAGGAACATCGGGAGCGGAAGGATATTGGTGGATGGCAAGAAAAGGAGCCCAAACACGCCGGGCTCGGCATGTCCTGCTGGCAGGGCTGTCATGGAGCAAAACCTGCTGGTGTGCAGGCAGGTTTGGAGGCTGCTCAAGCATCCCTCCTCATCCTTGTCTTGTCTGGGAGCAGGGTTGGGGCTGCTCTAAGATTTTTACTGTTTTCTGAATCCCAGGAGACCATTGGTGCTGATTTCCATTTCCCCTCGCCCAGGCCAGGTTCCAACAGCCCAGCTGTGTCCCCACTGCACACAAATCCAATTTATCTCATGTTTCTTGGTGGCTCCCAGTTGAACTTGACTCACAAAAAGTATCTTCTCATTCTGGAAGCTTCCCCACACTGAGCATTTAGAGACCATGAAAACCCAGGCTGGGAATTTGCCACCAAATATGATTTTAAGTGGATTTCAAGGGGCTGCTGCATCAACCCACCTTCCCTGTGATGCCTGCAGCCCTTCCTGCTGAGGGATTCGGCCCTGAGTGGCTCTGGCAGCATCTCAGGAAGGATGAGGAGCAGCCAGGACCTGGAGGAATTGAGGCAGAAGCCTCTTGATTTTGTTTTTCTGGTGGAAGGGGAGCGAGCAGTGGTTGCAGAGGGCCAAGCCAAGCACTCCCAGGCTGGGGGCTCCTGGGGCCAAAAGCACTGGTACCACAGCTCGAGGCAGGATGAGTTGCTCTGTGCAGATTACGTTTTAAAACAACATGAGATCTGGTTTTTTGTCCTGGAGAGGTGCATCTGAGGGTGAAACTGGGGGCACCCTTTCCTGTGCTGCACAGGAATGTCCTTGAGGGGTTTATCCCCTGGATATTTAGTGAGAGGCAGAGCTGCTCCATGCTGAGCTGGTTCAAGAGGGGTTCCACACCTCTGGGAACCATTCCCTGTGGGGACACCCCCATGTTTCAGCTGTGCCAGGGCTCAGCAGCGGCTGTCAGCAGTGGGATTCAGCCACACAAGCCCCGCGGCTTCTCTGTGCCTGGCAAAGTCCTGGTTATTGCAGGCTTTTAAGTCTGAGAAAATCTCTCTAATGCAGAGAGGGGGGTTTCCTTAATCAGGCGGGGGACAGCTGAGCCCCCAGACAGGCACGCTGGGTGCCACGTGCACGCCCCGCCTGGGATCACGCCGGCTTTGGTCCTCGCTGTCGCTTCTCGTTTCCTCACAGCCCGCCTGACGTGCCAGCTCCTGATAAGGGACTTGGACAGGGCAGAGCTCACCAGGCACCAGGATGCTCCACAGCCAGTTAAAGCCACACAGCCATTTCTGCCCTTTCCTTGGCTGAATGTCCTGGAGGGGCTGGTTTTCCCCTAATTCTCCTTCCTGGGGTTGGCATTCCCCAGGATGTGTTAAATCAGACGTTTTGCAGGATGCTGGGGAGGTGGTGAAATGTAGGGGCAGCTTCCAGTGTCATGTCTTCATCCTCATTCTCATCCTTATCCTCATCCAGACTTCCCCAAAGCCCAGAGTGGTTGAATCTCCCTCCTGTAAGGGAAATCAACCGCATCCTGGTTGAGCATCGTTTCCTCTCACATGTTCTGCATTTCCTGCTGCTCTCTTACCCTCTTTGGGTTGGAAATCTGCTCCCCTGTGAGCTGGGATCATGGAAGTTGACAATATTGCCTAGGAAAGCAGGATGTGCAGTGGGTCCTGATAGAACGGGGGGGCCTGAGCGTGGCAGGGAGAGGGGCAGGTGGTGACCGAGGTGGGTTTTTGCCATGGGAAGTTCTCACCCTGGTTTTCTCTGAAAATTCTCTGCTGGAAAGGAACCGCTTTTAAATCTCTTCCATATGAAAAATCGTTGTGTTCCTCTGGCTGCAGCCCAGTGACAGAAAGGTTTCCTGAAAACCTCTTTGCATCTTCTGTTTTTTTCCCTGGCAGAAAGAAAGAGGAGGAATGAGAAGGAAAGTTCTTTTCTAAAAGACCTTGCAGAGATCCCAAAAACAGGAATCTTTGGGTTTGATTCCCGCTCCAGCAAAATTGTTTTCCTTTTACATCATCTTGACAAAAAGCTAAAAATGTGGGACACACATTTTTTTTGGTGAAAAAACCCAAAAGAACCAGCAGCCAACGCCCCATATGGCTGGAAATGGCATTTTGTTGTCCCAAGGCTCTCGTTGAGCAGCAGATTGCTGCAAGCCACGCTGCCTTGGCTCGTGTCCTGCTGCGACTCCGGCCCGGTCACTCCCCGCCGCCGGTGCTTCCCGTCCCCCTGTGCTCAGCCCTGCCAGCTCTGCAGCTCGTCCCCATCCCCTGCCTGCAGCCCCTCCTGCTGCCACAGGTTACAATCCCAGCTCCAAGGTCACATCCGAGCTCCCAGGTTACAATCCCAGCTCCAAGGTCACATCCGAGCTCCCAGGTTACAATCCCAGTTTGGGGGTCACACTCCCAGTTCCCAGGTTACAATCCCAGTTTGGGGGTCACACTCCCAGTTCCCAGGTTACAATCCCAGCTCATGCTGCTGCCTGTAGTGTCCAGGAAGGATTTTTTTCCCCCGTGCACAGCTGGTTTGACACTTCCTGGCACCACTGGCATCTTTCCTGCAAGAGCAGGGCTGGTGGCACCACAGCTTCCCCTCACAGCTCAGCTGCTGAGGAGCCACCCCTGTGAGGAGCTGTGGGTCTCGTAAACAATGAAGTTATTACTGATTTTACAAAGTTGGTGGCTGGGGAGAACAAAGAGACCAAGGCAAAGCTGGGACACCAAATGTGTTAGGCCCACAGAGAAAGAGCTTGGGAAAGATGAAGGGGTGATGCTGTGAGCTGTTTCAGGGTCTGGGTGGGCAGAGCCACATCCATCCTGTTCCACTGCTCTCCTTGACAGACTTGTTGAGGGAATGATTTTGTGTGATTTTGTGTGGACTTAGAAATGGCAAAATGCTGAAATGGCAAAATGCTGTGGCTGGTGGTGGCAGCCCCTCACTCCTCCCTGGGCTCGGTTCAGGCATCCAGTGCAGGCAGATCTGAGGGTGATGGAGCTGCCTGAAAAGCTCCCTGGTGGCAGAGGTGATGCAGGCTTTACAAAGAGAAATGTTGTTGCTTGGCTGAAACCTCTTGAAAAACCCCGTTGTGACATTCCCTCCTTTGAGGGTGCTGGAGGATGGCGGTGGCTTGTCCATCCCCACAGCTTCTGAGTTGATGGAGGAGAGAAGTTTTCAGGGATGTGAGGGATTGCCTTCCTGATTCCAGGGATGGAAGGGCAGAGACGAGAGGTCCAGCTCCTGTCCCTGCAAAGGGAATCATGTCAAGATTCCCCTCTTAGACATCAGAGAGTCTCTCCAGTGCCTGAAGGAAAACCAGCTTCACTGCTCATGGAACAACTTTTTCCATTTTGCCTCTGAAAAAGGGAAAAAACTTTTTTTTTTTTTTTTCCAGAGAAAAGCTCAACTTTCTGTTTTTTGGCTGTGTCGGCAAAACAAAGGGTTTAGGGAAAAAAAATCCACAAAAAACAGTTTAAAATAAAAAAAAAGGCAAAGCTGTTCCTTCCCCACCAGCAGCACCTCTTCCTCTTTTGGGCCATTCTGAGAACAAACAAGAACATGTACAAAAATAGAAAAATAATAGGGAAAAGTCCTCAGGAAACTGCAGAAAAAGTCCTGGGAATCTCCTGTTCATGGCAGTGACTGATTCCCACTGCATTTCTTTATAGAGACTCAACACAGGAATTAGGGATACCAGGAATTATTATTAGGTTTAATATTAATATTAGGTATAAGAATTATTCATAATCATTATTATTAGATAATTAGTTAATAATTATTAGGTATCAGGAATTACTGGTGACGCCAAACAGGGCATCAGATGTCACCAGGAGTGAGTCGGGTGCTTCTCTTGTGGAGCTGTATGTGAATGAGGACGTTTCCCCTCTGCAGCTGAATCCAGTAACGAGGGTGAAAATGGTGCCTGGGAAGGCCCAGGAAGGAGTAATTTTAATGGAAAATATTGTGAGAAGCTCCAGCAGGATGGAGAGCAGGCTGGGGTGGGTGTGGTGCCCATTGCTTGGCCGTGGCTACCTGGCACAAGCATCCATCGATGACCTGTGGTGAGGTGCTGAGCAAAATCCCACCCGCAGCGTTCCCAGCCCTTCTGGAGACATCCGTGGGTTTTATTTGCTCCAGCAGCATTTTCCCCAGAAGCTCTGTGTTTCCTGGAGCACGCAGGTAGCTGAAGAGCCACTCCCAAGCACGCTTTGGCCTCAGAACGGAGATGTTTGTTGCTGGTAAGGAAGACAGAGAATTTTCAAGACTTTTTTTTTTCTTTCTTTCTTTTTCCCTGCTGAATTTGGCATGAAAAGGGATCAAGACTTCCAGGAAATTCTGTAGCTTTGACTTCTAAAAAAAAAAAAAAAAAAAAAAAAGAAGAGTTGAAGAGTTGGCAAGTGCTTGTTCCGTCTTCCATCATAATGCCTGATTGCTTTTGGTGTGTTGAAAATAGAGGGATTCAGGGTGGATCTCCACTGGCTGCTGAATATGAATGAGGGATTTAGGAGTGTCACCAGGCTCCTCCTGATGAGGAGTGCTTGTCTCCCCTCATTACCTGTGCCCAGGTTTCTGTTTGTGAGCCCAGTCCTGGTGTGGGGTTGTTGTCACCATCACCCCCTGTGTCACCCCCAGCAGCTCTCACTGTGCCACATGTCCTGCCATGCTCTTCCTGCGGCACCTTTGCATTTGGCGAATTCCACTTGTCTGGTTTCGTCAGGAAATTCTGACAAATTTGATAATTTGCCTATAATTTTGGAGTTTCTTTTCCTATTTGGCTGTTTGTAAGCAGGTTTTCCCTGTCTTTTGCAGGACAGCAAAGGGCATTAAGGTTTTTTTCCCCTTCATGATGTTGTGGCACCTGAAAGTGACGAAGATGCCTGAGTTCATGCAGGGCTGAATTCAGTCCTGGTATAAACAGAACCTTTGAAAACAAGAAAGTTTCTCTCCATCTCTCCCCATGCTGTAATTCCCAAATCGGAGAAACCTGGCATCAGAACCCAGGGGCAGTATCCTGACTTTTTAACCCCTCTGAGGTCAGCGACAGCTTGGGGTGATGGTGTTGATTTGTCCAGGGGCAAGTCCTGGTCCAGGCAGGCCAGGGGGTGTTCCTGGGGGTACCTGCCCGTGTTCCCCAGCTCCTCTCCCCGATCTCAGACTGTTCTGGTTGTGCTTTCAGACGTTAAGAAAGAAAGGTTTTAACGGCTGTGACAGCCCAGAGCCCGACGGTGACGACTCCATAGACCAGAGCCCCTTGATGGAGGATAAATACCGCAAAGGCAGCGAGGATCTGGATATCCTGTTCAAGCGATACGGTGTAAGTACCTGCCCGTGCCTGGAAAACCTTCATTATATGTTCTTTTCTGTTTTGTTTCTCTTCTGTTCGACTTCCCCTGAACCTCGTCCCCGCTCCCTCCCCGACACCCCCGTGTCCCCCACACGTAACAGGCGCTGAACAAGAAGCACAGGGAGTGCGAGAGCCCGGAAGGGGATGAAGTGTTTGCGCTGACCCCGCAGACGGAAGAAAAATATAAAAAGATTGATGAGGAGTTTGATAAAATGATGCAGAGTTACCGGCTCGCAGTGAGTAGCTGGTGGCCTGCAGCCCCCCTGGTCCCCTCCCCGGTGCCTCCAGGTGATGGGGGGGTGGATTTTGCATGGCTTTGCTTTGGAGCCGTGCCATGCCTTGGGAGCCGATGCCAACAGCCCCTTCAGCCCTGAATGCACCTGGTTCTTGAGGGCCCTTCCTGTTTCCCATCCTTGGGAAAATATTTCCTACTAGCTCTGGCATTCCTGACCCTCCTTGGCTCTGGCCAGGCAGTGCAGGAGGATATTGCTCCTGCATGTACTGGATTAGGGCCTCCTTTTTCACCCTCTTTGCCTCAAAAAAACCAGATTTTTGTCTGGGTTAAGATCCCAGTGTTCATGTGAGCTGGTGGAAGGTGCCGACCCCTCCCATCCTTGCAAAGCTCAGCCTGGTTTGGGCTATTCCACATTAATTCTCCCCAAATCCACCGAGCCCTCAGGGCAGCTGGTGGCCGTGGCAGAAATCCAGGGAGGTTTTAGCCTGTGATCCTGGAGCTCTCACTGGCACCGGGGTAGCATCAGGACAGTGCTGAAAGGGATTTGTGTCAGGAGACAGGAGGAGGAGGGGGACACGTTTCAAATTAGTTGTTAGTTCAAGGGAGCAGAGACTGTTGATGCAGGCAAGGGCTCTTCGGGGGATTAGCCCCGAGTCGCTGCAGCCGTAATTAATGCTGCGGGAGCAGGGGGAGGCTCCTTTTCCAGGGGTGGATGCAGCACAGCAGAACAGCCCCACCCAAAATAATCTGCCCTTCTGTGCTTTGCAAGCCCCCACAAGTTAAAATTCTGGCTTTTCTCAAGAACTGGGCCTTGTGAAATCCTCAGGTTTTATTTTGCTGACTCAGCCTTGTGTTGCTCTACGATCCTTGCAAGGATCCCAAAATCTGCATTTCCATCCCCTGGATCTCAGGGTGGAGGGGGTGGGGAGGCTGTGCTGAGACCTGGGAGGGCTGAGGAGGTGGAGGAAAGTGCGGTGCAGGTGGTGATGATCTCCGACAGCTCTGCTGTGACAGCGAGCTCAGCCCCACGAGAGGGGCTCAGGGCAGGATTAACTCTGTCAGGACATGGATCCACCTCAGCCTCTCTGCTTTCACTAGGGGGGTGCAGGTTCCCACCCTGCCAGGGTGTGTAGGGTGGGAATAGAGCCCCTGCAGGACATGCACCCCCCCAGCACCTGGCACAAGCCCTGCCACTGGTGGAAAACAGGCTCAAAAGCCACCTGAGCTTTGTCCTTAGTGCAGAACACCCTCATGAGCAGGGGCTGCTCAGCTCCAGGATGTCTGCTGCAAAGGGAGGGCCCCCAGCAGGCCCCCCATCATCCAGACGTGCCAACCCAGAGGGACAACCCATGCCCACAAGTCCTTTCAGCAGGTGGCATTCAAGTGCTGGGCGGCTCCTCATCAGGGCACAGCATCTGGCTCCCCCACTAAACCTCCCTGGCAGCGAGGGGCAGAGCAGTGCAGGTGCAGCGTGTGCGGGTGAAGAAGACGCTTTTCCATTTTAACTGCTGGGTTGGTTTTGTGTGTGACCAGAACTAACCCAGCGGCGTGGCCGGGGCAGCTTAGCGCCAGCCTAACGAAAGGCCTCAGCGGAGCTTCTGCCTCTGGTGTTTGCCCTGACCTCTAACGAGAGCACAAATGGGGTTTTGGCTGATGTGTGCATCTTCTCCCCCAGACTTTGGAGCGATGTGCAAACCGCCGTGTCCCTCGTGCCCTGTCCGGGGCAGGGCCCGGCTGTGCCGGGGCAGCGTCAGCCTGACGCTCGTCCGCAGGTGCCGTGGGGTGGAGCCGGGTTCAGGCAAACCTGGGCTCTGCCACAGCCTCGCTCACCCTGTGGTGTGGAGGAGCTTCAGCTCTTCCTCTCCCTCCCCAGGAACGTTGTGCGCACATGGACGCGTTGGCAGTGATTTATTACACAACGCTGCTCCGGTGTTCGTGCAACGCCCAAGAAACCTTCCTCCTCCTCCTCCTCCTCCGATTCTGCTGCCGTGCAGGATGAGCTCCTGGGCTGAGCAGAGGGAGGGCTCCGTGTTCCAGCTCTCCCTGGTGGTGTAGGAATTGCTGAGCCTGTCCCTGTGAACGGCAGCCCCAGGAGCGGTGCCACAGCGCAGGCTCGGGCTTGGCTGCGGCCACGGGATATCTCTGAAGGACAGGATGCCCTTGGGAGGCAGGTGGGGAGAGTTCCTGGCAGCGAGGCGTGGGTGAGCACTGTCCTACTCCTTCCTCCCATCCTCCTCTCTCACCTAAGGAGCAGGACCTATCCAGAAGCAGATTTCTGGAGGAGAGGAGGCTGCAAGGCAGGGGGAAGATGCACCAGCTGCAGTGGGGACACCTCAGCTCTCTCTTCCCTTGCTGGTGCAGCCTGAGGGGCTCCACCTCTGGCCCTGTGATGATCCCATTCAGCACTGGGCTACTCTGCCTCTCCATCCTGGAGCAAATTAAAGTGGGACTTTAGCAAAGCCTGTACTAAAGCCTGTAAGCAGGTGCCAGCTCCTGTTAACGAAGAGCGTATCAGTGACATAAGACAAACGGCTGGGATAATCGCAGCGGGTCTGGCTCCCACGGGACACTGGTAGGTGAAGCTGGTCTTCAACCTGCAGCCGAGGATAGGGCTTAGCAATGCTCCTGCATCCCTGGGGTCAGCTCCTCCTTCCCAGCAGCTCCCAGAGGAGACAGGATGGATCCCAGAGTCACCCAGGGGCTCTGTGCAAAATGAGTCTTTCCCAGGTGCTCGGCCATCAGCAGCAGTGCCAGCTCAGAGTGGGATCCACTGCTGGCTTCCTGCTGGCTGAGGAACGGCCTCATGGAATCCTGCTTGGGGTGAAGGGTAGTGCCAAGCCTGGCTGCTGTTGTGGGGGCAGGCCACCAGGCTGGTGCCCACCTTCATGCTCTGGGCAGCTCCCAGCCTCTCCTTCATGCCTGCCCTGAAAACACAGGGGGTAAATAAATGCAGCCTGAAACTGAGGCTGAAATAGTTGTTTGCAGAGCTCTGGTGTGTCCAGGGATAGCCCATTGCTCTTCCTGGTGGTCCCTGCTGGGGAACTGGGCTCTGCTGCATCACCCCCAGGGTGCCAGTGTGGGTTTGAGCGCAGCACTGCAGGTCAGCAGTGGAGCTTTGAGGAGACCTGGCTGTCCCTCCTTGGTCAGCAGCTGTGCTGTGCTGCAGGAACTCGGCTCTGGCTCCCCTTTACCCCCTGCTCTCTGTTCAGTCCACAGTGCCCGCTCCGAACTTCGCCATGCCCGTGACGGTGCCGGTGACCAACCAAAACACGCTGCAGTTCAGCAACCCAGGCAGCTCCCTGGTGACCCAGTCCCTGGTGACCTCCTCGCTGACAGACCCCCGGCTCCTGTCACCGCAGCAGCCAGCACTGCAGAGGAACACGGTGTCCCCAGGGCTGCCACAGCGGCCAGCCAGTGCAGGTGAGCCTCACCGTGCCCCTTTGCACCCTCACCTCCTCATCCTTCCTGCCTGGCTGGGCAGCACCGAGCGTGGGGCATCCCTGAGGGAGGGGACGCCCCTGTTGCTTCCATCCCCTGTCCAGGGGTCCACAGTTCAGCACCTGTGGGTGGCAGGAGCATCCTGGAAGGGTTGTTGCCCCTCAGTGTGTGCTCCTGCCCTCCTGCCAGACGTTGATACCCTCTGTTTGTGCCTTGGCCCCAAACTGAGAGCAAGCTCCCCACCTCACCTAGGTCTGTTTGAGAGCTGGATCTCTGCAGGGATCAGTTTCGTGTTGGGCAGTGCAAGATGAGTCACCCAGTGCCATTCCCGGGCTGGGGGTGGCTGCTGGCATCCTGCTGGCCGGTGGCACTCCGGTGACATGGGCTTGGCTGCCTAAAAAGGGCTGCTCTGAGTCGGGCTGTGCTGGCTGCAGTTGGCCGTGGGTGATTACTCATGTGGCTCTGCTGACAGATCAGAGGAGCAGTCATTCCCAGCGGGCACCGGCGATGGGTGGCAGAGGACAGGGTGGGGGAGAGGAGCTGTCACCCACGTCCCCTGCAGTGGCAGGGGGGACAGAGACCGTGTGGGCCCACAGCCCAGCTCTCCTGCTGTATGATCTTAAATCATAATCGTGGGCAGAAAGTCCCTTCCTGGTATTTTGGATGTCACAGGTGGCCTGTAAAAGTCACCCGGGCTGCAATGGCAGAGCTGTTGCCAGTGACCACCCAGACGTCTGGGCCCTCAGCCCCTGGGGCTTGGAGAGCTCTGGGGAGCTTTGAGAAGGGGATGGATTGGGAGAGAAGGGCTGGGGGGTGCCTCCAGAAGCAGGTTGTGTGGTGGGTCAGGGTGAGCAGGAGGAATGGCCTGGCTGGGATGCAGCAGGAGCAGTGACAGGGGTCATTCTGCTCTAGGACTGGTCCCAGGGAGCAGCATCTCACCCCAGGCAGGCTGGCAGAGCCTTCCTTGGGCGCAAGCAGCCATCACTCTGGCTGCAGGGATCTCCTGCCCTCTCCTAGGCCCCTCAGCTGAGAGCAGAAGAGGCTTCCTGGTAAAGCAGACCCCTCTGGGGGCTCGCCATTTCCAGCTCACTCACTGCTCGTTTGAGGGGGATAATTCTGCGGTTGTGAGCGCAGAGGTGTTCCAAGTCAGGCCATCTGTGTCTCATTCACTCACTGCCTGGGACATGGAAGAAATCCTGTTTATAGGAGCCAGGGCCTTGCATGTTAGAAAAACTCCTTTTTTCCCTAAATTTTTTTTAGCATTGCACCAGAACTGGTTGTGTTGTTTCCAAAGCAAATGCTCAGCAAGCTCTGGGTGGGTGCCTTGACAGTGCCTGGTGCTGTTGGCTCAGGGATGGTGTGGGAGAAGGGCAGCCAGGTGGGGGTGTATGGGGCTGGGGGCAGTGTTGGCATCACTCACCCAAGGGGGTGAGCCCTCTTTGGCCGCATGGGCACCGGTGCCTGGGATGCAAGTGGGGTCCCACAGCAGGGCGCAGCCACACAAGCCCTTGCTGGAGTCCCTTCCCTGGCACTTTGGAGCCACAGGGACCTCTGGTTTTGCATCCCCATCCCCTGAGGGGAGGGTGCTGCATGTCACATTTGCCACATTTAGAGGGCCATTTCACCCTTTCTCAGTCTGTACGGTTTTGGGACCACTGCTGTTCCAAATCCTGCTCCCATATGGGGAGCAACTGTGCTTCCCTGCACGGCAGCAGCTCGGCCCTCCCACCCTCCTCCAGCTTTTCAGGGGCTCGCTGCAAGCCCAGAGCTGAGAGCCACGGGCTGGATAAAGGTTTGTGTTTCAGGTTTCCCCATCTGGATTGAGAAGGGCTGGGCAGTGGTTAGAGGTGGGGTTTGGCATCGAAAGCCCCTCGTTGGCCAGCCCAGGGCTCCGGGTTGACTGCGGTCGCAGCTCCGGAGCCTCCGCGCCGGCTGTCGGCTGCAATCGCTGCCCGCGGCGTGGTCAGGCAGCCCCGGCTGGAGAATAGGTGGCTTTCAGAAATAACTTCATAACAAGGCAGAAAAAAGATCAAGTCTTCTTCTGGGCGAGGCAAAACGTTCTGGGTTTTGGGAATAAAAAAGGTCTAGTTTTTCCCAGCCTGGTGGGGAGCATCAGTGCTTTGCTGCGAGTGTTGGGACCACGGGAGTCTGGGTCGCTGTGGCATCCTGGCAGTGTGGGATGGTTTCCATTCGGTGTGAACATTGCAGGGGGGATTGTGTTTCCCGTCATGCTGCTGGGGCTCTCTCTCCCCTGGCAGCGCTGGCCCTGTGTCCCCCAAAGTGGGGGTTGGAATAAAATAGCTGCAGTGTTTTCCAAGCTGCCTCATTTGGAACAGGCTCCTGTGCACCTGGCTCCTTCCCAAAGGAAACGGATCTGCCTGGATAATGTTTCCCAACCTGATCACCAGGAATGCTGCTCGTTTTGCCCAGGACTTTCTCCCCAGGAAGGCAGTCCCGCTTTTTTTCCTCTGCCTTCCTCCACTGTGCTCCCTGCCTTCCTGCCCCTCAGAAGCAGGGATGCTCACCCTGTTTCTGCGTTGGTGGTGATCCCGTCTCTCTGCTTGCTTTGCAGGGGCGATGCTTGGGGGAGACCTGAACAACACGAACGGAGCCTGCCCGAGCCCCGTGGGTAAGTGAGGAGCCTTTCAGCCCCGCGCCCCTGGCTCCATGTGACACTCCTGCCCTCGCTATCCCCACATGTCCCAGAGGGTTTGCTTTGCTGTTGAGCCCTGCTGGTCCATAGGGAAGCGCTGGGGGAGATTTTGCTGCTCTTGGCAGTGGGAGGGGTTGGCATGGGGAGCATGTGGAGCTCCAGGTCAGCGCCTTTGTGGGGGGTGCTGGTTTCAGTGGAGACCCCAGTGACCAAGGAGTCTCCGTCTACCCAGGATCTCAGGGAGAGCTGCAGATCAGGAAGGTGACCCCTGAAGACCAGGATTTGGGTAGTTCTGGGTTTAGCTCCTGGTGCTGCAGCCAATTCTCCACTGTCCTCAGGTGATCAATTAACACCCTGTTCCTCCTCGTGCTTGGGCCCTATAAAGGAACTTTATGGCAAGGGAAAAAAAGCTCATTAAGGGCCTTTTCCACTGTGAGAGCCTCAGTGCTAATGAGGCTCAGGCCTCATAGCTCAGTTCCTCAGCTGTAAAATGCACTAACAATATCCCCATCCCCACATCTGCCTCTGCTGTCTGCAGGCTGAGGATGTTGGGCCGCTGCTGGTGCAGGCACAGCCCAAAAACCAGCGACACCCCTGGGTCCTGCTGGGAAGCAGCTGCTGCTGTTGGCACTGGGCTTGGCAGTGGTCCCAGGCTTGGCAGGGTAGATGCCATCCGTCCCAGGGCAAAGGCAGCCTTGCTCCAGGAGCCTGACTCCTCACCCCTTCTAGGCCTTTTTGCAGTGTGTCTGCAGCCGGCAGCACGGAGGAGGAGCGTGGAATTCCACATTGCCCCAATTAAAACCGAACTGGAGCCAGGTGACACCGGTTCTCGGGTGGGGTCGGCCCAGCTGTGCTGCTGCAGCGCTGTGGCCACGCGACCCCATCCCCTGCGCTCTGGCCACCGCCAGGAGCAGCCAATTCCCTGGGCTGGGCAGCAGCCATGCCAGCGCCACAGGGATTTCTTGGCAGAGCAAAACCTGCCAGGGTGGATTGTGGGGCAGCGTCTCCCTGGGTTCTCCCAGCACCCAGCTCGGGGCTTTGCTGATCCTTGAGGGCACAGGGAAGGGGCCGTGGTTCCACAGCCCCCGGCCCCTCTGAGGCTGCCGTTCCCCTGCAGACGCCCCCATGTCAGCTGTCGGGAGCAGCCATGGCGGGTGCAGAGTTTGGCAGGGCCCCTGAATGTCAGCATTGACGTCACTGAAGCATTCCCTGCGTTCCTGCTGCCACTGCAGGAAATGGGTGTGAGGAGCAGGGACAGCCCGGCTGTGGCCAGCCCCGGACCCCTGCTGTCCCCAGCGCCCTGCCCTCCCTGGGGCTCCCCTCGTGGCTGCGGGAGGGGACTGTGGCTCTGGCACTGCGCTTGCGCTTTTCAAATACCTGGTACATCTCTTCCTCCTCCTCCTCCTTCTCCTCCCTTGCAGTTTCTGCAGCACTGAGTGATCACCTGCTGCCTCTGAGTCATCAGCTGCGGGTGCCTCTGGCCGGATTCTGCAGTGATGTCGCTGTATCCCTGCATCCTGCCCACACTCCATGGCATGTGCCACCCTAAGGATGCAGCACCCGGTCCACCCCGCCTGTTCTGCGGGGGGATGCTGAGTCCTGACTGTCCCCACTCAAATTCATGCCAGGGTGGTGCGGAGGCAGGCTTCTCTTTTAGACTTTTTTTGGTGGGTGCCCTTGGTTGGGAAGTCCTGGTGGGAGTGTAGCCCTTCCCTCTCTGGCTCACGGGGGTGGCTGGATCCGTGCTGGGTGGACGTGGCAGTGACAGCAGCAGTGACAGCCCAAGGCCACTCATCTTTGGGGGTGAGTGGCAGCACTTGGAACCCAAACCAGCTCCTTTCCAGCACAGGGAGCCACCCCAATCCACACCCCAGGTGATGCACAGATTACATGGTGTGTCTCAAACAGGGAATCACCGGGCGAGCCCCGTGTGCATCCATGCCGGTGGTGCCTTGGGAAGGAGAATATCAAAGGGTATATAACATTTCGTTTGGCTTTTCCCTGGCCACCACCACTGTGGGTAGCCAAGGTCACCTGAGAAATTTCTGCACCTTTGTTGTTAATAAATCTAAAAGCCGGTGGCCCTGGGAGCAGGATTCCAACAGCTCACGGTGCCTGGAGGTGCCAGGGCCCGATGCAGCAGGCACATGCCTTATGCACGGCTGCTCACGGTGACTGGGGACTGGGAGGACACCTCACTGGGGACAGAAAGGCTGCTCCTCTCCCTCCATCAGGGACATGGATGCCACAGCTGCCGGCCAGCCCGGCCACCACGGCTGTCCCCGCTGGTGGCTCCCCGGCACCCACTGGGGCAGCGCCTCCCGTCCCCAGTGCCCTGTGTGGAAAGGGAGCTGCGGCTCCCAGGGATCACGGCCCCCTCCTGTGCCTGCTCCAGCCCATCCCTGCAGTGTCCAGCCCGGGACAGCTCCGGGGAGGCAGCGGCTGGCGCTCGGCCCCCACACGCTGCGGCTGCGGCGTCACTGCCACCAGCCGCCTGCTGAAATGCAGATGCAGCGCAATGCTAGATGTGATTAATAATGCAATCAGCGACCTATTTTTCCCGGTCTAACGTGCAATGAATATGAGGGCTGAATCCTGGTGATTGCTGAACGCCTTTCTATCTTTGGGGCCTATTCATGAAAAAAAACCCAACCCTCATCAGAACAGTAATCTGATCCAATTTATTCCTTTCCTGATGTTCATCAAATCTTTTCCTTTTTATTTTTTTTTTCTTCCTTTCCTTTCTTCTTTTTTTTTCCCCTCTCTTTGCACATGAAATCCTTAAGTGGGGCAGCAGGAGGAGGAGAAGGAGGGAACCTTAGATCTTCAAAGGGGCAGTGGGAGCAGTGAACTGAGTCCTCACTCTGCCACAGCCCCTTTTCACTGCCCCAGTGCCGTAAAGAGAGCTTAAAGGTGAACGGGCCGGTAATTACCCATCTCGGCAGGGCTTCGGTGCCTGGCCAAAGCACAGAAAGAGCCTGGCTGCAGATCAGGCTCTGAGATTTGCTGGGTGTTACTGCAGGAACAAGGGGGAGTCCCTGCAGGTTGAGGAGCTGCCCTGAGCGCTGTGGGCTCGGGGCTACTGCCTGTCCTGGCTTTACCCCGCAGGGTGAGCCTGCCGGGGTGCAGGAGGGTTTTGGGGAGCCTGGGGGGGTGCAGCGCTGCTCTCCAACGAGGAAGGGCACTGATGGAGCACTGATGGAGCCCCACTGCGGCACCACTCACCATGCACCCATTTAGCACGGCTGTGCATCGACCATCGCCATGTGCTCATCACCATGCATTCGCCATTGCCCCGTGTTCACTGTCTGTGCGTTCACCACCGTGCATTCACCGCTGCCACTCATCCAGCCATGGCCGAGCCTTCACCTCCTTCCTCTCTGTCCCCCGCAGGAAACGGCTACGTGAGTGCCAGAGCCTCTCCGGGTCTCCTCCCCGTGTCCAACGGCAGCAGCCTGGGCAAGATCATCCCGGCCAAGTCGCCGCCGCCGCCCTCGCACGGCACGCAGCTCGCCGCCAACAGCCGCAAGCCGGACCTGCGCGTGATCACCTCGCAGAGCGGGAAGGGGCTGATGCACCATCTGGTGAGTGCCCACAGCTCTGCTGGGACACGGCTGGGCTGGGCTGGGAGAGGGGCCCTGCCAGGGCTGTAGTGGTGGGAGCTGGCTGGGGCCGTGCTGGAGGGGACATCCCAGGAGGAGGAGGAGGGCTTGGATTGCTGCCTGCGCCATCCTGGTGGTGCAGACCCTGTACCAGGCACTGCTGTAAGCTGTGTGTGTCCCGTGGAGGCGAGGGTGTGGTGCCGTGGGGCACAGTGGCAGCGGGGATGGGGTGCTTGAGTTAACGGTGCCTCTCGGTTCTCTCCCTGTTCTCCCACGGACAGACTGAGGACCACTTGGCTCTGGTGAGTTCCCTGCTGAGTGTGCATGGCGGTGTGGTGGGACACGGGCTGCTTGTCCCCTTGGTCCTGCCCTGGCTTGACGAGGCATGGGGCACACAGAAGGGTGGACACTGCTCCCTGTGTCGGGAATGTGGCAGGATGTGGGCATCAGCGGTACATCCAATCCTGCTGCGGAAAATAAATCCCAAGAAAAACACGCTTTGAGGAAAACAAGGTTCCCTATGGAAAAGAAGGAGCTGACATGGGCTGCAAAGCGCCTGTTTCTCCACCAAGGCCAAAATTGCTGTGTTGGTCCCTCTGGGGAGGTCAGCCAGGGTCCCCCTGGGGCTGTGGAACTGGGCTGGGCACTGCCCTGGAGCTGCCCATGGGGCTTTGCTGGAGCCACCACAGTTACAGCACAGGAGGACCTGGCCCATTGCCAGCACATGAGAGACAGGGAGTAAATCAGGTTCTTCCCATATTAAAGATATTATTTAAAGCCTGTGTAAATCCACTGGCTGGCTAGTGCACTCCCTAAACCTCCCTTGTGCATGGGGTAGTTTTCAGTGTTATTTTTATAGCTTTTTTTCCTCTCCCTGCCAGCAAAGTGAATGCCACCTTGTTTGTGGCAAGGATTCACTCTGCTCCGTTGCTATTCTGGTGCAGGGCAGATGGGAGGCAGGTCAGCACAGCAAGGGAAGGGCAAGAGCTGCTGCAGGATGCAGGTCACGCAGCCAGGGAAAAGCTCTCCAAAAACACAGGAGAAAGCCAATCCCCCTGGCAGCCTGCACGGAGACACTCTTGGCCAGAGCAAGGATGGGCCAGAGCTTTGGCAGACGTGAATTCTGCTACTCTTCCAAGCCCTTCTCGCTTAGTGGTGTCCTCAAGCCCTTCTTGCTTAGTGGCCCCCTTCCAGCATCTCTGTGCCTCAGTTTCCCCATGTGTGGAAAGAGAGCAGTCGCTCCCAACCTCCCCATCTGCTCATTCCTGATCCCCACTGCCTGGGGCATTCCCTGGCTACACACTGAAGCAGAATTAGGTAAAAATCCACTGTGGGGGGGGCATTTGCAGTTTTAATTGTTGGTCTGAATTAACCTGTTGGGTTTTTCCCTGAAGTGAAAAACATCCTGGCCCCAGCCGAGGTGGCAGCAGGGGGATGGAGAGTGATGAAATGTGGGCAGCGTGGGACAGGGACCTTGGCATTGCTGGATCAGGAAGGGGACTGCTGAGTGTTGTCCCTGCAGGTCCCTCCTGCCTGGTGCAGATGCCCCCCTGCTCCGCTAACCTTCTCCCCAGATTTGCTCCTTCCATATTGCTCAACCTACACACCAGAGCCTCTCTCCAAATGGCAGCTCCCACCTCTTTCCAGGCAGCTGCCAGATGAGTCAGCGGCCCCTCCGCTGGGTCCCAGCTGCCCGCAGCCCCAGCCCTGCCACCCTCAGTGCTGCTCCTGCAGCTCTGGGCGTGCTCTCCTCCCTTACACCCTTCAGAGAGGCGTCCCCCCATTTCTCTGCACGCTCCTGACACGCCAGGGGCAGCAGGATCCGTTCTCTGGGAGCATGCTGCATGGTGTGTCACCAACTGGAATGGCAGCCGGGAGCACTGTCTGTGGGCACGGGGTGTGAGTGGCACGATGTGGGGGGCAGCTTGCACATCTCCTCCCTGCATGGATTGTGGTGAAAATCGGGATGCTTCACCCAGCACAGCTGGGGCTGACATCCCCACACTCGCCTTGTGGTGCCAAGGAGGTTCCTGGGGCTGGTACACCCTGCCCAGCTGGTGTCCCACCAGCCCTGTGGCACGGCCACGCTCGTCCCTGTGCTCTCCCAGGAAAGCCACAGAGCCCTAGGGTGACGGGCAGAAGGGATGGGGCTGTGAGGGCTGCACCCCACTGGGCTGGCTTAGGGTCTCGTGCAGGCAGGACAGGGCCAGGGCTGTGTCCTACCTGCTGTGAGGACATTTCTTCCCGTGTCCTTACCCCACAGCAGTGGGCACGGCCGAGGGCAGCTGCCAGCAGGCTGTGTGCCAGGAAAACCCGCTCCTCCAGCCCCCCAGCTTTAGCAATTAGAGCCCTGCTAATCGCCTTCCCCGGCCACAGAAGGGACCTGCGGGCTGGGCAGTGTGTGGGCGCAGGGTGAGCAAATCCTGCACAGCCAGGTGCTGTTACCCTCTGGAGGTGGCCAGGCCAGGGTTTTAGCCTCCAGCCTTGTCCCAGGAGAGTCTCCCTGGCCATGGGGAAGCATTGCAGAGTCTGTGCCCAGCCCTGCAAGGCCCCAGGAGCCCTCGGTTCTACAGGAACCTGCTCGCTGTGTCCCAGCCAGCCTCGTGCCAGGCGTGATTTAAGCTGGGCACTGCCCCAGTCTTCACAGGGTGACGTGTGCTGGGGTGCTTGGGATTAGAGTCAAGCCTCTTGAGTCTGATTTAAATCAGATCAGCAGAGACAGCTCAGATTATCTGCCTTGTAAACAGGGCTGAATCTGACCTATAGATCCGCCCACGTAACTGCCTGGAAAACCATGGGGGGAGGTTGGTGTGCACTGGTCCAAGGGCAGAACTTCTCCACAGTGGACCTGAGTTACCAAAACCCTGTGAGGGCACTGAGCAGGCAGGCTGACAAGCACTGGGCTTGGAGTTCAGAGATGCCAGAGTCCCTTTAAAATCCTGAGGCCAATTCTTAGTGTCCTCAGCTTCCCTCGAGGCAGGGGCTTGTTCTTGGCCAGCAGAGCTGCAGGGGGGAGATGTCAGCTCTGTGCTGCCTCAGCTGGTCTTGGTTTGCTTTGGTCCCTTTGCCACTCCTTGGAAGCTCAGCAAGCCTCACATGCAATGTCTGGAAAGCAGTGAGGAATTGCCTGAGGTGTCCTGCTGATATTCCCCCTCCACGCACACAGGGACGTGGCTGGTGTTGGTGGGTGAAGCCCAGCCCTGGGCAGGAAGGGGACTGCACATGAATTTCACAAGGTCCAGAGTGTCAGTGGCTGGTGTGGTTTGTACTTTGCTTTTTTGCAGTGTGGAATGGCCAGAGGATCAATCCTGCTTGCCCCACAGTCTCCATGCTCAGCCCCAGTGCATGCCCAGGGGGTTTGAGGGGGCCACAACCCACGGAGACGACCAAGTCCAACCATCTGGGCTTTAACTCCCTCCCTGTTTGCTCCCGCAGCAAAACACACAGCGGTTGGGTGTCTCTCAAGCAACTCACTCTCTGACCACACCAGTTGTTTCCGTGGCAACTCCGAGCTTGCTGACACAGGGGCTGCCCTTCTCAGCCATGCCCACGGCGTACAACACAGGTAAGACATGGCCAGGGAGAGCCCTGGCACAGGTGAGACATGGCCAGGGAGAGCTCTGGCACAGGTGAGACATGGCCAGGTAGGGCCCTGGCACAGGTGAGACGTGGCCAGGGAGAGCCCTGGCACAGGTGAGACGTGGCCAGGGAGAGCCCTGGCACAGGTGAGACGTGGCCAGGGAGAGCCCTGGCACAGGTGAGACGTGACCAGGTAGAGCTCTCGGGTGGGTCAGGTAACACCAGAGGGAAATTGCTGCTGCAGGCACGTGCCTGGTTCTCCCCAGGCAATGCAGTGATGCTTGTGGAACTCACTGCTGCAAGATATGGCAGGGTCCAAGGGTTCTGCAGGATTAAAATCAAGGGAAACTCTTTATATTAAGTGGGGAGAACTCGTCGTCATAGCCAGAAGGGCTGTGAGGGCTGATGTAGCCCATTGCACTGTGCAAGTGGATGTTAATCACAGCTACACCCATCCTCGTGCTCTCGGAGCTCAGGGGATGTTGTAATAATGACAACAAGCGTAGGCCCCCCAAAAGTTTGGGAAGAATGCAAACCAGCCTGCTCACAGGCACATCTGATTTGGGCTGGTGGATTGAAATCAGCCTGAGGCAACAGTGACAGTGCACTTGCCCAAGCAGAAGGGTTGTTCATCTGCCACCTGTCAGACCTCCACCAGGACTTTGAGGACTTGCTGGCTGCCTGTGTAACTTGTTCTGGCTCAGAGAAAAGTTTGCAAAAATGTAAAAAGCTGCTTGTCTGGAAGAACTCAGAACTGGCATGTTGGGAACTCCCTCTCCTAATTAGTAGGTGTAGCCCCAAAGATGCTGGTTGTGCGTGATGAGGCCCCTCTCCCTGTGTGACCATGCGGTTTACCAGCCAGGCTGGGCACAGCCAGAATCCCCAAAATAGGTTTTAATTAAGCCCTGTGCTGCTGCTCAGGGTGGAGGGGCCTGAATTTTGGCTCTGTGTAGTTATTTTTTCTCACAGCTGACCATGGGTAGAGCCATGTTCCTGCCCAAGTGCCAGTGGTGTCTGTGCTGAGGTGTTTGCTGTGGGGTGAGTGTGGGGGGGGGCACCCCTGTAAGGGTGCAAACTCCTACCAGAGCTGCCCTTTTAATTGGATAGGAATTGTCTTGATTTGTCAAGGGTCTGCAGCACAAGGAGCTGAGGGGGTTCAGCCTGGAACTGAAAAGGAGGCTCAGGGGGACTTTCTCACTCTCCACAACTCCCTGACAGGAGGGGGCAGCCAGGTGGGGTTCAGGCTCTGCTCACAGGTAGCAAAAGGCAGGACAAAGAGAAACGGCCCCAGGTTGTGCCAGGGAAGGTTTAGGTGGGATATTAAGGAAAATTTCTATGTGGAAAAGGTGTTCAGGCTTTGGAACAGACTGTCTGGGGCAGCGGTGGTGTCACCATGCCTGGAGGGATTTAACAGACTGTGACAGCTGGGGACATGGTTTAGTGGTGGCCTTGGCAGTGCTGAGGGAACAATTGGACTGGATGGGCTTGGACAGCCTTTCCAACATAAATAATTCTGTGATTCTGTGATGCTGCAGAGGTGATCATTGTGTAGGTGGTGCAGGGGTGCAGATGCCCTGAGCAAACTCCCAGCCTGGAGCGTTGCCATTTGCTCTTCCCAAGACTCACCTGTTAGTTGGGTGGATCTTGCCTGGCTCTCAGGCTGGTGCAGGTGTCCTGAGCTGCCCTCTGGCCACAGTTCTGTGCCCTTTTCCTGTGCTGGCTCTGCCGCCAGGTTCAGTCAGAGCTGACCATTCCCAGCTCTGTGATCTGGGCTGGCTCCAGCTGCAGCCCTGCTGGGGGCTGCAGGGACAGCCACTGTCACCAGTGAGTGTCAGGAGCTCCCAAACCAGAAGAGCCGGTGCAGGGGGTGGAGGATGGTGTGGAACAGGGAACCCGCTGCCAGGATTTTGGGAGGGGTGTGCCCGGATTCCGCCAGTGGCGTTGGCAGCAGTTCAGCACCGGCACAGCCACCTCTGTGTGTGCTGCTGGGGTGGGGACAGCCGAAACCACGAGACACCCAAAATTAGAGAGAGAAAGGAGGAGGAGAGTGTGTGAGGAGGATTTGATGGGTGTCTGTGTCAGGCTGACATGGCTGACCGAGGTTTGACCATCTGCTGAAGGAGCAGCACTTCCCTTCCTGGCTTTCTCCGCCAGCATTCACACCCTTGCTAAAATTCCCACCTGGAATGAGGTGCCCCAGTGGGATTTTCGGTGCTCCCGATGGGAGAGGCCTTGCCTTGCAAGTGTGGGGGTGGGAGGGAGGGTACCGGGGTGTGGGGTGCCCGTGGGGGGGACACAGTGACAGCTCCGTGTCCCCAAGGCGGGCAGGGAGCGCCCCCTGCTGCCACCAGGGACACTGCGCGTGGGGCTGGCCCAGGCTGGGTGGGGCTGGCCCAGGTGTGCCCCAGGCACAGGTGAGTGTGCCCCAGGTGTGCCCCAGGCACGGGTGAGTGTGCCCCAGGTGTGCTCCAGGCACGGGTGAGGGTGCCCCAGGCACGGGTGAGGGTGCCCCAGGCACAGGTGAGGGTGCCCCAGGTGTGCCCCAGGCACAGGTGGGTGTCAGCTGCCAGGGTTTGCTGGCCTGGGAGGGGAGGAAGTGTGCACTGTACACCTGGATCTGGAGGTGGCTCTGGGGGTCTCACCTGCCCATGGCCATTCCTGAGGGGAGCCAGACACGGCTGCATCGTGGGGCTGCCCTGGCCACTGCTGTGCCTGGGGGCCAGGGGCACTGCTGGGTGTTCTGGGGTGTGGAGGGTGGAAGCCCTGCCAGCAGCTCATGCCTTGAGGTTGGAAGACAGCTGGATATAAGGAGGAAATTGTTTACACCGAGGGTGTTGAGGCCCTGGCACAGGTTGCCCAGAGCA